TAGGCATGCCTTCCTCCTTTAGTTAATTATATCTGAAAGGCCCCACAGACTATCCCAACAACTCACCTGCCCAGCTTGCTTCTTTTGAGTGTGGGGTGTGTGTGTGTGTGTGTGTGTGTGCGTGTGTGTGTGTGTGTGTACAAAAGCCAGACTTTTATGCTGGTGTCTTCTGTCACCTAAGACCTTTTCTAAGACAAGAGCTCATTGCATCATGGCTCTGCTTCCAGCTGGACTGACTGGCCACGGAGCCACTGAAGCCAGCCTGATCCAACTACTCCTACCCCAGGGTTGTAGGTGTCTACTGGTGTTACAGACCTTCCCTGTCATGTTCTACTTTTATGAAAATAATGGACTTCAAACTCAGGTCCAATGCTTGTGAGCCAAGGACTTTACCCATTATGTCATCTTCCCAACCCTTGCCTGAGCGGGTCCACATCCTGTGAATACTGGCAATCAAGAAAAATCATTACACACAGAGGGGAGCAGATTTCAGTAAAAAGATCCAAAAAGAACACTCAAATTCACAGGCAAATGGATGGAACGGGAAACAACCATTCTAAGGGAGGTCAACCAGACCCAGAAATAAAGAAAGGTTCCACACTAGCTTGGGATATTTGGGTGTGCTGTCAAATCAGAGTGTCTATATAAGTGGAGGATCCCATAAGAGATTAGAGAGGGGATCTGGAGGAGGGAATAAAGGTGGTATGGAGGAGGAAAGGGGAAATAATAGAACAGGAAGCGTTAAGTGGTGTGGAAGATGGAAATGTGAGGATGGAGAACTAACTGTAGAGACCTTTAAAAGACCACATGGAACCGGGCGTTGGTGGCACATGCCTTTAATCCCAGCACGCAGCAGTCAGAGGCAGGCAGATCTCTGTGAGTTCGAGACCAGCCTGGTCTACAAGAGCAAGTTCCAGGACAGCCTCCAAAGCAATACAGAGAAACCCTGTCTTCAAAAAAAAAAAAAAAAAACCAAAACAAAACATATGGAAAGTTGCTACTGTAGAAGCTTCCTGATATATATATATATATGTATATATATGTATACACACACACACACACACACACACACACACACACACAAGGGTATTAAGTGGAATTACTCTCTGATGAAGGTACATTCATCTACTAAACACCAGTCTAGCAAATAAAAATCCCAGTGTTAGCTATGTGTTTACCTCTTTTGAGATGTTGCCCATTGATCTCCCCACCAATGTCACTGGTTGTTGCTAATGCTCTGTTTTTGGTTACCCTCCAGAACTATAAAAGTAAAACTTTATTAGTGAAGACGCAATATACTTGAGTCACAAGACATGAAGAAACGAAGCCAGTGCCAACCCGGAAGTGAGCCATCACAGCGCTGGAAAGTTCATGCTCTCGAATCAATAGTAAACTTAGCCAGCTGTGAGCTCTGAGAACTACAATAAAACCTGTCCTGGCAAGATATACTCTCGGATGCAACCATGGCATGAAGGTTACAGGAATAACCAACCAATTTTATTGGCTTTAAAGCCTGTTCTACAAGAGGAAACTGATGTTTTGTACTGTTAACTGAGCCCTAACTCATCTGCTGGATAGGTCACAGGCCCAAGAGGGGAACCTAATAGTCTGCTAAATTGACATAACATTGAATTGTCCCTAAGTTCTTTTCTTCATACTCGTAGATCAGTGTATCTCTCGGCTTTGCAGCAGATGGTGACTAATACAGGATTCTACAACTAGCCAAACACACACAGAATAAGAGGCTGTGGTCCAGGCAATTCCAGATGTTAATGCCTGTGCCCTTCCCCTCAAGGCTCGGGTGTCATTACAGAAGAGGGAATTAGAAATACGGCAAGAGCTAGACCAGAGGCAGTGCATGTCTGCAGTACTCGTCAGGCATAACGTGCCTGTTGCACAAACTCACAGTATCTGTGACTGCTAGCCCAAGGTCCAGCAGGGATGGAGAGGGACTCAAGTCCCATCCTTGGCAGAAGAGCTATTGATGGTTGATGGCTACTGGGGGAGGCAGAGTCAGTTTTCTTCAAAGACAAGCCCACGGAGAGGCTGCCCGTGCTTCAGCTGATGATAGTACACCCTTGCGTGTATACGCAGCACTCGGTTGTCTTAAAGAAGACAGAACACATGGAGTGGGGAGGGAAAATCAGAGGAGATAAAACCGGAGACAACAAGATGGGAGTGGATTTGATCAAGACACATCATAAGAATGTATAAGATTCTCAAACAGAGTTTTTACCTTAAAAAGTTTGTTTTTAATGTTTGGTTAGAAAGAAATAATAAGCGAGAGATCTACTGTACAACAACGTGAGTATAGTTAAGAATAATGAACACTTGGAAATTACTCTGCAAATGGATCTTCAGAGCATTCACAAAAATAAGATAATGTGAAGTGGTGCCTATATTAATTTCTTGATTCCACTGTTCCATCGTGTATATTATACATACAATTTTTGTTATCACAAAACATCGCATGTAGTTCATATGCAATTTTATTTAGCAACTATAAAATAAATATCTCAGAATGATTTGATAGTTTGTTTTTAAGGGTAAATACAGTCAAATGAAGGAAGGACCTCCAAGTCGTTTGCTAAACAACACATTTTTCTTGTATTGTTTCACTTTAAAGATGACCAGGACATTATTCCTGCCCTTCTGAAATTCGTAATCTACCAGTATAGGGGGATTAAAAAGAACCATAAAATTAAATATTTTGTAGCGCAATCAAGCAGTCTGTCCAGTGAACTAGGAATGATGAGGGCTATTGTATGGAGTAGTTACCAACAATGGGAAGAAATTGCATATTTGAAAAAAAAAAGAAGCCATGTCCCTGCTGTTTTCCCTGCTTTCCCATACCTTGGCAGAGATGTTAGAGTAGGTTTAAATGTGTCTGTGTTGCTCACTTACCAGGAGAATATAACCAAGAAATAGGTGTGTTCCCAAGCATACCTCAGAAAGTTAACTTGGAACCTTCCCTAAATGAGTTTTCTTTCTTTGCTTATGTTAGCTTTTGCTAGTCATGGACTAGTCATGAAATTAGAAGTGCAATTCCTTGTCACATTTCTCTGGAACAGGTCTCTGAAATAAGGACACGTACTTCTTGGATAATTCTACAACCTCACACTTCTATAAGTACGTTTGAAAAAGTTAATTAGGAACAATATATACAGTTTGGCAGGTAGTTACTGAAATAGCTCTATAGTTTTATGAAATATATTAGATTTTGGTACACAAATAATGTAATCATTTAATGGGTCAATTTCAATTATGCTTTTCTATTTGGCACCTTGAAAATCATTTTCTCTAACATGGAGACATTAGTCTTTTTCATATTCATATATGTATTTCAGGTTCAGGAGGAGAACTGAAACTAAATTTAATAAATCTTTTCTTCATTCTCAGCCAAATGTCCTCTACTTGATATTAATGGCAAAACAATGTGTTGCTATCACAAATATTAAAAATGGAACAAAATAGTTTGTATCATGATCACAATATTTAGAAAGGATTTTCTGTTCCTTCAGAATGCAGTCTGGGACAGAGACAGTTGCCATTTCGTTGTTGTTACTATTATTAAAGAATCTGAGATAACATATCTGGAAGGTAAAGTCAAATAAGACCTCAGTCGTATCTTAATATCAACTTCTAAAGTGAGATCCATGAGAGTCAGAGCTGATAAACCTCACCCTAATCCAAGGTTCATGCATCGGTGTGGATGTTCCATAGCACTCACGATGGGTGAGTTTATCAGGAAATCGTGTCTGATGTAATACAGAGCAATGACAGCTATGAAGAGAGAGTGGGGTCTTGTTTGTCCCATTTAATTTTCATCTTTTAAACATCAATTCTAACCTTTCCTGCATGCTGTGGTGTATCTTAAAGACAGGGGTGCCGATGAGTGTAGACTACTTCCGGCTCTGAGCACGGACACAGAGTGTGAGTTCTGTGTGAGGACTCTACTGCCCGTTTGTCTTTTTCAGGGCACCTGCAGTCCACAAGGTTCCAAACACAACAGAAGAAAAGGGATAAAGGCATTTCCTCCCGCCTTCCCCACTCTGTGTGTGTGTGTGTGTGTGTGTGTGTGTGTGTGTGTGTGAAGCCACTTTGGGAGTGATTACTGCTTGGCACCAAAGCAGTGTTTGACATACTTGCCTCGTTCTACTGAGAGATGCAAGAGTCAAACACGGCTCTCACGGAACTCCAAAGTAGGCTTTCCTTATCTACATACTTTTCCATGGTGACGTACATCCGAGGTGATAGTCCAGGAGGCATAAATGGAGCTGTCGTGGCTTACCAAGGTAGGGCATGTTAATTTAATGGTAACTCTTGAAGTAGTTGGTTTATTGCCAACAGCAAGGGAATGCCTGGCTTCTCTGAAGGGACCTAAGGACAAATTTGGAAGTAAGAAAAGCAACATGTATCAGTATGTGGTGTATATCTATGTGTGCGTGTAAGAGAGAGACAGACAGACAGACAGACAGATCCTTCATTTCTCCCACAAATACATTTCCTAATGTGAGCCTTTGCACATTTAGACAAGTATTTTTCCGCCCAACTTTCTGGTCGTGAGTTTAGCCCTGGGGAACAGAATCAAGGTGAGGTCAGAGCAAGGAATGGGAAGAGGAACCCTGACATAAAACAGACAAAAGGAGCATACTCAAACGGCAAGACGAATGAGGAAGTCAGTGGGGACTGTACAGAAGTCTGTCGAACCGGAAGGGAGGGGCATGTTGAGAAGAGAGCCAGGGAAGGTTACACGTATTTTTCAAGTAGAAGCAACACTCCAAGGAAATACCAAGGCTGTGTGTGTCAACACGAAGTCAGACGCTGAAGCCGAGACGCCAAAGTATTCAAAATCCATTGTATTTTAACTGGAACAAGAGTCTTTTGCTTTATATTTACTAGGGATATATTTATATTTCGCTGCCGAAAACCATAAGCAATGTGCAGAGAGGGGAGATATGCGCACGCGCAGGCTCACACTGTGCCTGGGAGGAAATCCTCACATCCCTGAGGTTTCCTCCTTAGCCTCCGCAGCCCCACCCCCTTCCCACCCCCATCCAGACAGGAGCTTTTTCCCTTTTCCTGTCCTCTGGAAGATGGTGTCTGAGCAACCTAGCCGGTGAGCAAGCATTAATGGGTTAAGAGGGTTGGAAACTCATTTGATTTCATAGTTGACTGTTTGCATGACTACAGGTTAAGCTGTGATTAGATTTCCATTTACGGCTCCCTCATTTTCAGGCATTTAAAAATAACTCAGCCCTAAAAGTTCTTTCTAAATTGATTGAACTGGAGCTTGCCATTGAGTCACAGATAACCCTCAACCTCAGAATACACAAACAAAAAAGAAAAAAAAACAATATCAAAGTTGGGGGAGGGCAGCCCACTGGTAAATTTTTTTTTATTATATACAGCTTTTTTATTCTGGGGGAAAAAAAAGGAAGAAAAGAAAACCTAGTCCTTTGGGGAATGCAAGCCCACAAATTCATGTCTGCTGTGTTTAATCATTTTTAAATCATTCTGCAAAGGCCTAAAATAAGCTAAAACAATTCAACTTCTACACTGGCAAGCATGCACATATACACACACATCACACATTCCTCTGCTTATAAACAGATAAGAATTCAATGGCCTTATGGGTGTTATATGAGACATTTTCAAAGCGGGGGGACCACAGGTGTTTTATGACGATCTCATCTCTGAGAAAAATCCAAATGACTTTAGGAGACTTGATAAAATATCCTTATTCCAGCCTTAGATTCAAGACTATTCAGGCTTCTCCCCAATTTGCCAATTCACTGCTATACAGTCACCTACACCTGCAAGGTTTCCGGCAGCATTCAGCCGGTAGCCTAAGAGTTCAGCAGGGATTCCCTGGTGGAGGCATCTCATTAGACCTCCTGCACAATGCTGGTATTTTTTCTTCCTGCCCAGGCTCCTCAGAAGAGGAACTGTTCTCTTGACCCATCCTGTGACTCCAAGATTCCAATTTCCTAAAGCACTACAGCCTTTTATTATTGCATGGGGAAGATTTAAAGTATTGCTTGTCCTTGTGCTCAGAAACACAATGATGCCTCCAATGAAGTTGAGATCAATGTGCACCATTACTGCTACAGGCACACCCTTTCATGTGTCTGTATTCTGTCATTTGGAAGGCTCCGGCGATTTTCCATTGGAACAGAGGTGTGAATACTCACCAAAATCACAACTAGTGAATTGGGGCAGAAGGCAAAAGCAAAGACAGGAAGTCGGCAGAGTCAAACTTTACGCATTCGAGTTCCGCTAGTAAAGACCGGAAGTCGGCAACAGAGTCTGCTTTCTGTTCTTTCCACCTCAACAAAATACCGTCTCCGTCATCCCTGCACATCTTGCCTTCCTAATGTAAGGACGACAGATTGGCCTTGCCAACCATTCTTCTCTGTCATCTCTGCGCTGTCCAAGATCCATTTTTGTAATTGCTGAATTGTTAATGCTTCTAATTGATCTTTCTGTCTTGTGGTATTAATTTTTTATTTATGTCATGGTTTATGAGTAAGTTCTCAGAAGCCCAAAATGCTGAAGATCGAAAGGTTGCAATAAATGCATATTCTTACTCAAAATGATAAATTCCAACTAACTGAAGTCTGGATTCTTGCTCTGACTTAATCCTTCAAAGGGGTTGTCATTGCCTTCTGTGTTCAGTGCTTCTTTCATTTAGTGTGTGCACACATATGAGCACGTGCAAACCCACATGCTATGTGCTGGACTCGATGAAGGCCTTTACAAACACAGTCCACTTAATCTTTATAAAAAGGAACTGTGGCTGGCCTCTTTTGAAGGTGAGAAAACTCAGACTCAAAAGAGAACGGGTTTGTCCAACCTTACTCTGATGCCAGTGCTGGAATCTACATGGACACACCCAACACTCAGAGTCAAGCTATGCCTTACCCGAGGCACATAAGTGTGGTCTGGCAATTTATTGACATCCTCTTTTCAGTGATCTATGGGACCTAGCACTTCATGCTGATAGTAATGGCATTGTTACTGTCAGGTTCGAGTGCTATGCTTACCTCTCCTGTGGGATATGTGCACTGTGTAAATTGTGCTCTGATTGGTTTCATAAAGAAAGCTGACTGACCAACAGCCAGGCAGGATAAGGTTAAGTGGAAAAACCAACTAAAGAGGGTAATAAGAAGAGAAGCAGGAGAGACGCCAGGAGGATAGGTAAGACATGAGCCACGTGGCAATACATTGATTAACAGAGATGAGCTAATTTAAATGTAAGAGCTAACTGGTAGTAAATCTGAGCTATTGGCCAAGCATTTACAATTAATAGAAGCCTCAGAGTAGTTATTTGGGAACTGGAGGGTTTACATACCTCCAGTGTAGTGTTTTCAAGGAATTAGGAGGTACACTGAAGAGGGTCTTGCTTGTGCGTGGTCTTGCCTTTTTCGTGGTATTCTAAATAAAGGGACAGGGAAGCTCCCTACCACCAGCATCATCACATTTTTCTGACTTTTGCTGTCCCCCACTGAGCCTATGAAAATTTAGGCTTCAAGCAACTTTACTAGGCAGACACTTTGCCTAATTCATCTTTTTATTTCTAGTGCTTAGGATAGCTCTTGACTCATACTGGAAGCTCAATAAATATTGATTTGAAATTTTGAATAAAATTAGGTCATGATCAAATAAAGGTTTATCATCCTTAAGCGTACTCTTCCAGTTTTTCATGAGAAATAAATTAATAGGTCTCATCTGTTCACCAGTTTTGATTAAATTCTGGAATGTATCATGTCTTGCCAAACCCCTATACCATTTTTCCCTGTCTTTGTAATTTTCCTGGTTATTTCTGACATTTTACATATTATGACATCCCCATCCAAGAAGACAGAGGAGACGATCTGTTGCTAATAGCTTTTGAAGTGAATTCAATGTATTGTTATAGTAACCAAAATTTACAAAACAGATCAATTAGGGAAAGATTTAAATTCAAGCTCAGAAGAGAATGTTTCTAGAGGGGGGGGATAAATTATTCTACGTTTCAGAAAACTGACAAAAGAGATTCTTTCTGTATCACATGAATTTCACAGTGTAAAAAAAAAATGCAGCCTTCCCAGATCCCAAACGATATACAAGAGCAAAAGACAGGGTAATGGCATCTACACACCTGATTCCCTGTGCTGTCCCTAGTCTGTAGGACTACTTCTTCATCTACAGAATCCTTCCAATTCCAGAAACTTCCTCCTAGGCTGAGAAGAGCCCCACGTCAAGGCACACATGGCATTGGGCATGGCTGTTCTTCATAATGACTGTTGATATATAATAATAGTCTGCTTGTTTCTCCATCAATGCAGAGGCCAGATCTGATATAAATCCTTACATATACTCAGGGATCATCACATCATAGCTAGCATCTGCTCTGGAAACACACCCTTTACTCAAAATGTTTTTGTTGGAAATATGGCAGGCAGTATCTTCAGTTACATTACGTGTTTTGACCATTTGTCATTTCTTTTCATGTGTCTTTTACAAGAAAGAAGCACTGAAGGGAACATATTGGAACGTGGTATACATTAGAATGTATGTCAATGGACGCGATTTTTATGGCAAACTCAAATACTACAGTCCAATTGTGTGGTGTCAGGACTACAAAGATTCATCACAAGATAGAATTCAGGTTACTACAAGTAGTCTTGCTCGAGTGTTACGGCTTTTTTAGCAAAAGCCGATGACTTCTTTACACTGTTAAAAAGCAGCCAGAGTAGGCCAGGTATTGCAGTGCAGCACCCGGGGGGTGCGGGGAGGCAGAGGAAGGAATGTTCGAGGCCTTCGTCCCTTACGATGTTAAAGGCATCCTTGGCTGAGACACTATCTGGACGCATCTCCAACCCTCCACCAGCCTGCACCAAACTGTGAACATGGTCAGTGATTACCAGTTTCTCCCGACCTTCCTTTCCAACTTGAGAAAAGCGATTTGCGACGAATTTGGAGCGCAAATAATTTTTATCATAAAAGACCCCTGGGATCTGATCTAATTCACAAGAAGCCGAGAGTGCTGTGTAGAAACCAAGCACTCAGATAGCACAGTGCCATCAATGATGGCGCACAAGCGTGTCCGGATGATTTAGTGAGAATGGCATCCCCAAGGTGGGGTCCCAGAGCGCTCACACAAGAGGTCTGTTTTTTTTTTTTCCAAAAAGGATCTCGAAATCTGTTTTCATTCCTCACATGTTTAAAAACCAAATCGTGGCTAAATGTCTTCTTCTGGCAGAGGGTCACTTCCTTAGAAGGGCTGAATAATCAAGGCAGCGGAACCATGTTCAGAAGAGTCAGGTCTGTGACGGCCCTCTCGTCCAGCCCAGAAACGAAGTGAAGTTGCCCTTACGATGGTCTCACCCATTCTTGCATCCTACTCTGCTGACACTGAAAGTTCATGATGGGGTCCATCAGCAGTGTGGGCCACTTGCCCACACTCGTCAGTGGAAGGTAAGCGGGTCCGACATACAGCCCCACCAAGGACACGCAGCAAAGACAACGACGACACTTCCAGCTGGAGTCTAACTGATTGGGAATGCTGCTGGTCCTCACTGGAAAGTGTAAACCCAGGCTCTGGCCAAAGCACAACAGAACTGTGCTGTATCATTGGCCCATCACTAAGGCCTTTTATGGAAGCAGAATCTCAGATAGTCCAGACCGGCTTCAAATTTGCTATGCCAATAAGGAGGATCTAACTTCTGACTCCTTCTGGTTGCTGGGATGACAGGCATGTACCACCAGGACCCCCGCTTTCAAGAGGTGCTGGCGGTCAAACTCGGGCTCCATGCATCCTAGACAAACTCTCTACCAACTGAGCTACATCTCATCCCCTACACCTGCTTCTTTCTTCTGTCTTACTTCTGTCTTTATTCCTATATTCTGTATTCTGTCTTTATTCCTGTAGGCTATCACAGCTCCTTAGGTGCTGGAAAAATTTCATTGCATTTTTCTCTGCCTATCCATTTCCTTCTACCTTCCTTCCCATGGAATATATTCCTTAGAATCATGACCTGGAACTCCCTCTAGGATCCTGGGTATTTACACACCCCCTCAGTCAAGGAGATCCCGGAACCAACTGCAGTGAGATGTCAAATCTCACTGCATGTCCTTACCTCTCCTTGAGACAATGGTACCTAACAGCTAGTGACTTACAACCTCAACATTTTACAAAGTAGGCCCTGTCTAAAAAGAGCTTCCTTCATCATTTCTTGTGACTTAATAAAAATATTGGAAGATAACCGCACTAAGGACAATCTGGAGATGTTATGGTAGGATTTCTAAGTCATCATCCATTTTACCCCTAAACGCTCACAAACCGGACATTGGATAACCAATCTGCTATTTCCCAAGGCTTTGGATCAAGCGTTCTCCATGCAAATATTTCTCTTTTAAGATATAGAATCTAGTTTCCTACCTGTTAGAAACTTAAAACATCTTCTACCACTTTTTCCATGTCTTTCCATTATTCTCCTGGGTTCAAGCACAGTATTTCTCGAACCTCTTAGAATAAAAGTTACTATTCCTGGAGACTTGTATTTTGTAGCCTCTTGGCTCATTTTTATCATCTTGTTAATCTTCTCTACTCCAGGATTCCTCTATTACTTTTAAGAATATTTCCATGGACAGAAAAACGTATGGCAGCCCATTCTCTCTGTCAAATCAGGAATAAGACAGACTGTCCTGCGTGGGAAACTGGCTCCCTTTCACTATTTTTTGTCTGAGCATACAGCAGAAACTCCATACTGTCACCCAGCTAAGATGGTGGCAGACGGCAGGTGTATATTTTCCATTGAACTGTCCCCACACATGCTGCTTCTTGTTCTAGAAAGAAAGGCTTTTCTCGGGTTGAGGGTTCCATTTGGTGTGGTGCACACTGTCTTGTGTACTGCACAGCTGCGTCTCTCTTCCTCAGGGGCAAGACAAGGACAAGGTGACCTTGCTTTTATCACCCCCGCCCCCCATACCTTTGTTTTATAGTGTGGCACTGACAGAAGAATGGAGCTTGCCAGTTAAGCCACAGGAAAATTCTACAATCCTTAAGGCCAACCAGGGCAACCAGAGACCCTATCTCAAGAAACGAAAAGAAAAGAAAAAGAAGCCAACAAATGATGGAGGATGTATTCTGTATGTACGGTTCTCTTGTTGATTGATGAATTAAGACACTGAGAGAGAGAGAAAGAGAGAGAGAGAGAGAGAGGGAGGGAGGGAGGGAGGGAGAACGCAGCACCATAACATACACACACACACACACACACACACACACACACACACACACACACTAAAGTAGTCAACAAAATAAAGATTTCTGATTCTTAGCTGTTTCCATAAGACTCAACATTTTAAATTTTTGTTCTAAAATAGAATAGAATATTCACAGGGATGTTCTACCGTGATGTTTCTGGTTTAAACACAGAGGGTTTCCTTGAAGTGCCTTTGCATTGTGTCATACAATTTACACTATGAGGTAATTTAACCCTTCAACTATACCCCGATTAATTGCCAGCTGACAATACACAAGGCCCTTGGACTCACTCCTGTGGGCAGCTTCCTTTCTGGTATTACTTAGATTATGGGACTGCTTAGCTCTCTTTTGGTTT